CCCAAACTTAAACCTTAAACATCCCAAACCCTCACCTCTTAACACGCCCGAAGCCCGAAACCCTTGGTACCTACTATCATGGAGAATCAAGTGGAAAAGAAAATGGAAATGACATGGAAACTGGGCTTCTGTTGGGGATTATAGGGATTAGGCTTTCGCAAAATTAGCGGTACCTTTAACCTGAACCCTCAACACCTCCTAGTTGCAAATCGGAGTAGGAATTTTCAGCAGTGTTTCTGGGCAAGCCACACGGGTTGCGGGGAATGAGCAGTAGCAATACTGACTTCAATGCTGTTATTCATGCAAATAGTAAGCAAATAGTAATGCGAACCGCAATGTGACAAGACAAAAACCAGTTATCAAGCAGCAACACCTTCGCCAATTCAAAACCTGGGGATTGGATGTCTCAGCATCCACAGCCCACAAGTTCTGTTTGACCCTAGACCCCAAATTGCGTTGCATGAGTGAGCCACCCTCCGGATGATGGAGGCAAGATTACATTACCTATGGCTCCTCCTAAACCCTAAACCCTGAACCCTGCTACTGTAGCTCCCCAAACCCTTAACCGGACTGAAGCAACTTAAGCTGGTGCATGAATGATTTCCTCCATCAACAGTATAGCTCGATGTCTCCCATGAAGAGCATTTTGAAAGACTACTTTTCTAATGGATGTAGACCTGTAACCCCAATCAGCTACTGTTTAGTAGGAACTACCCCCTAAGTAGTAGATATTCAGCAATAAAACTTTAGCTAAATGCGGGTTACAATATCCCTTTCAGCCCCTAAATAACCGCAGCTTCCATTTCATGTACTACGTCATTTTCCATTGTGATTCTCCATTATTGGGGGTAATATCCCTAAACCCTAAACAGCCTAAACCCTAAAGGTTGCGGGGACAGGTCCCTACATCCAAGCATCAGCACTCCCGAAGCATCCAGCGACTTGGGAAACTCGAGCAGGCGCATTGGCTCAACCTGGATCTTCGCCACAACTATGTAGGGAAATAAAGGAGGCACATAGGGATATGTAAGTATAGTCCCCCTTAGGTAGACAGAATATGGGGCATATGGGGATCTTATTATATTACACCCAAGGCCATATTCTATCTACTTAAGGGGGACTATAAGAACATATATGGAGCGTGGACTATATGAGGGAATGTAGAGGGATAGGCACGGTTCAGGGTTCAGACTCCCCCCAACCAAAATGGAACCCAAAGGGGCCTGGGAAGAAGGCTGTCCTTCCAAAGAACAACTCTGTGAGCTTCCATGTTAGTGCCGGGGAGGGTAAATGTTATGCATTTTGAGATCAACAACCGGGATCATCTGTCGATTGGGTCTGCACGCCATGAATTTAACCCCCAAGACTGAAATCCTAAACCCTGACCCTAAACCCAAAATCCTGTGAAGGGACTGCTGGTGTACAGAGGCCGAACCTGAAATTGTCTATGACATTGTGAGGGAGATGGATCGGAGTAACCGCTTCGAAAGAATATCAAACAGCTCCATAGCCTTTAAGCAAGCTTCGACAATACACAGGGTCGAGTGTAGCGGACAAAACACGATTGGTTGCTAGGTGTTTAACTTAACATTCTGGGACAGGCTGATTCCAAACTCTCAACCCTAAACCCTGGGTGAGAAAGACTCATTGTTGCCCGGAAACAGGTTGCATGCAGGGCTTTTATGCATGGCTGCTTTGTCCATGCTAGCCCCTACCAGCCTACCAGGCTCTTTCTTGATCAGCAGCTTCTTAAATCAGGGAGCCGTAGGTAATCTATGGATTGTGATGGTGCCTTCGTGGGGACCCTGAATGTCGGGGGCTGTGCTAAAATGGGACCTTCCATATGAGAATGAACTCCAAACCCGGAATGCCAGACCCGACCCCAAAGTCGAGATCATGAGGTGTAGGGTTCTAGGGCTTAGATTTTAACGCTTCATGGGCCGTAAGGCCTGGACCCTAAACACTAAAAACACAAAAGGTTTTTTGTCCCGCCTGGGCCTCTTGTTCTTCATCCAAGCCAGCCAAGGTCACGTCATAAAGCTTGTCGCCATTCTCCTTGCTAAGCTCGCTTTGTGGAGGTTCCCATAGTAAGGGTCGTTAAAGGCATTTGGGGGTATATGAGGGGACCCCTGTTTTCGGCAATTCCCTAATGTACTAGGCTCTGAACTCCATGCTATCACTTCGGCAACTCATCAGATGCCAGGGCTCGAAGACGTAGATCGGCTCGGCACTCTTTTTTCTTAGCTCCTGGAAGGTTGTGGGTGTGTGACCTTGAGGTGGAGTGCGGAGGAATGAACGGTGGAACATCCTTGCTCCATAACCCTAATACTACCCTTATAGAAACCTAACATAACCCTAATATAACCCTAATATTACCTTAGCATATGCTAATATTACCCTAATATAATATAATCCTAACATTTTCGCAAAGCTAGCAGGTCTCAATTTGTGAGGCGGCTTTTGGTCGTTTCTGTGGCGAGGCCACGTTCAAGTGTGTCCGGCAAGGCTTTGAGACTAGCAGTTGGACAGTGCACAATAGAATCCAATAGAGCCCGTCAAACCACCCCAATATATACCCTATAATACAGTAGTTTCCATCTTTTTCCATTATCCCAATATAACCCCAATATATACCCTAAAACATAGCATGAACCACACGGCAAAGACAAAGACCACAAGCCCTGAGCCTGGATCGGAACCCTAACTGCTCCGACACCAGAGCCGACACCGAATACCAAACTCGACTGGTGTCAATTCTGGACCCTTCTAAGCCCTAAACCCTATACCATAGATCCCCAAACTGGCAATAGGCCTAACAAGACCCACAAATCTCCGAACCCAAAACCACAAACAAAAACAATTTCAAGCCTTAAAAATCCCAAAAGCCGTCCCTGCCTAGAATCCCTAAACTCGCCTACCTGGGGTTAACAACCTTGCCCCGCCCAACGTGCAACGCGGCGTTGCCAACGCCACTCGCAAAGTGCTCACTGATTTTGTACGAAACGCCCATTGAATCGCTTACAACTGTTTACAACGCCCAACGCAAAGAAACTACCACCGGCCCGGTCAAACGTTTCGCAACGCCTTGTATCAAGCAGCGTATCCCAAGAGCCAAAACCTTCAGCATCGGGCCTGCCCTGCTGCTCTTACTGGCGCTTCTACAGTTACTATTCTTACCTTTCTGAAGCTGCTGTTGCATCTCAACAACTGCCCGAGAACGAGTGGCACGTTGGGTCTGTGTTTCCAGGGCCCTCCACTACGTATTTCCCAGAAATATTTTTGAGGATGCGCTTCAGGACCTTCCAAAAACGCATTTCCCAGCAAAGTTACGGGGGTATACAAGGCGAAGTTGTCCTCAAGCAGAGCTTGGAGCAAAAGCGTCTCAATTTTTGCCATATGCGGTCAGCCCCATCCGTCGTCCACGCAGCAAAAGCGGGCGTTGAAGCTTTTTCGAGTCCTTTTCAGCATTGTTTGCAGGCGTGACGCTGACTAGCCATGTTGCGAATCCCAGCCGTTTGTCCAAATGACTATGTGACACCGGTCACTACAGCTGCGCAGGATGTCAACATCCTTCCAGTTCACCTGTAAAGCGGGAACAGATTGACTGAACATCTGAATGGCATCAGTTTTATGCGTCGTTGTTAGTCTCACTTAATCCTAATAACCTTGCTGAACCTTGTTCGTTTTTATTTGTGTACGAACACGTCATTTTGGTGCATGTTCTGTCTTATGGAGGTTCCGGTCTGGAGACTCAGGTGTCGATGCCCATCTTTTGTTTGAGTTTTTAGGTTGCGGGATTCAGCAGGTTGCTTGGGGCCTTCGGAGTGCAATTCGTTCCACGCACGCTCAGGGGACACCTGCAGCGAAGCAGCAAGGCGACTACATCATGCGATGACAGCAGCTTATGAGAAGCCGCTCGGCAAAGCCATGCGTGCCATTGCGTGCCTAGCCTTTTCCCTGATGTTTTCCTGAGGCTGCGAAAGGGGAACCAGCTGGTGAGCGGCGTCACGCTCTACAGATGTGTGGACGAATTTTATCCTGAAATTGGAGGTTGGCTTTCGTTGTCGCGAGATAACCCGCTCACTTTCCGGCGATATTTCGTCCGTGGCTGCGAACTTTCGTGGGCCCCGGGACAGCAAGAAGCTTCCATGCCAAGGCTCTTCAGGAATCTTCATTAGCACAAGGTGCTTCAAAGAACGTAGCAAGCTGAGCTGAGCTGAGCTGACCAGCCCTTGAACTCCTAGACCAAGCACTGATGCACTGCTGCAATGACATCACCTGCAAAAGCTCTGAGAATTTCAGCAACACAAGCGATTCGTGTTTGTTTGAACAATTCCGTGTAGTTTTCGACCTGCCCCAGGGCACCTGCCGTGGCAGTAGCCTCCATGACCACATCCACGGCGCTGGAAGAGGAAAGATGCACGACGGCAGTGACAGCAGCAACGTCACCAGAGACATGGCGCTCTGTGTGAGCCATGGCGCAATGAATTTTGGGCGCTGCCTTGTGCAGCCTCCCTGGAAAACTTGGGTTCAGCCTCTTGTTATAATTTAGAGTCAGTTTCGCGTCAAGGTAGCGTCATATTGCGCCATCTTTCTGATGGCTCGCAAGCAGCTCTGTTCTGAAGTATGCCCACACTGCAGCGTAAACAATTTACTATGCGGTGACAGCCCTAAAAATGATCAATATACTTAAACTGCTTCCACAGGAGGATTTAGGATTTGTGCTCTCTCCCGTGTGCGCAAGCGCAGTTTGGTTTGCGAACCCTAAACCCTGAGCACGAACGACTTCTGCCCGCAGGCCATGCTTGGCACAAGAAGACAGCCGAAGTCATTTCAACATCCGAGCAGCCAGAAGCTGAAGGCGGTTGCTACGCTCCTGCACTATCGAGCGACCGCGCCGTGGAGCTTCCGGCTGCCTTTGGGGAACTAATGAGCCACTCTGAGCCCACTGCTTGGAAAAATAAAAGTGCTTTCGAGCGCTGCAAACCTCAAGCAATGCATTTCCGACACTCCGCCACGGCAGTCAGCGCCCTCAGCTCCGTGCGGCTGGCACATGCACAGGTTTTTGCCTCAATCAAGCGAGTCTCGTGCTCAACAGGTCTCTGCGCGTCTCTGACATACAGCGAAACAGAACTGATGGATTTCCGCTCGCTCGCCCGGCTCCCAACTGCACAGACTACTTTGGCGGTGCCACTAACTGCGCTCAGCGCAGCTTGCACCATGAAGCGCCAGGATGGCGTCGGCATCAGCCACTACACTGTACAGACACATCGAACCTACGATGCATGGCTGCCACGTGACCAAGCGCAGGCATGGTGTCTGCAAACGAATTAGTTCGGCGCCTGTTTGTCTGGCGCACTCCTAAAAGGATAAACTGCGGAAAGCGATTGACGGCGGCATAATTCTTCAAATGCCCTTCTGGAACTTTGCTTTGAAATTTTGAGCCTACAGATTTTGACGGCCTCCGAGAGAAGCTTGACATTCCCAGGCTCAGCCCTGAATGCCTAAGCCTGGCCTTGATTTAGTTTGTGGGTGCAATAGGACGCACACAAGACAATCCCTCAAGCTGCACTATATGAATCCGCACCACGCTTCGGGCGCTCCATTGTTTTGGCGTGAGAAGTCTGAGGATTTCGTCGAACTTGGGGATGTCGCTGGTGCGGAACTTTAACGCCCGGCATACCGATTTGTCCAGGTCTGCCTTGGTGATGTCCTGGCGGCTTTTCCAACATGCAAACTAGAAGGGTTGGATTTTTTTGAGACTTTTAACGCAACAGATGGCTTGTTTACAGGCCACTGTCCCTCGAAGCTTTGTAGGTCTCCAGAATGCGCACGGGCTGTGGTGGAAACAGGATTTCTGTCTCGCGTGGCCTGCCCAAGCAAACCGCGAAGCATGAGCCACTCAAAGAACGATGCCGGCCTGGTGGAGAATTCAGCCATGTCGATGCCCCCCTCGATGCCAGCACGACCCCGGTTCAATGAACCTGGCGCGACCTGAGCATCCAGAACAATGCCCCCAGGTGCCCCCAAATCAAACTTAATAGCAGCCACAAACGCGAACGCAAGCACATGACCGCCCACTGAAGCTTGAGGTTCGAAAAATGGCGAGGCAGCCCCGCACCTGTCAATACCTGCAAGCTTACAGCTTTTTAAGCTTCCGGCCACGAGGGGTACAAAGCAAAATACATTTTTCTAGGTCCCAAACATGCATTTTGTGGTTCCTTTGTCCATTCCCAGGGCCAGCAAAATTAAGGGCGCCCCACAAAGCAAAATGCATTTTTCCAGGGCCCAAAAATGCATTTTGCGGTTCCGTTGTCCATCCCCCAAGGCCCTCAAATTAAGGGGCCCAACGAAACATAATGTATTTTCCCAGGCCCCCTGTGTGTCACAAACAGTAAATGCTTAAAGGCTTCTAGGGATCATGTAGGGAGTAGGGTCCCATGAAGAGTGAAACTAAACCCTAACCCCTAACCCTAAATCCTAAACCCTAAATCCTAACCCCTAGACCCTGAACCCCAAACCCTAAACCCTAAACCCTTAAACCTTCAATCCTAAACCCTAAACCCTAAACCCTGACCTCTAACCCCTAAATCCTAACCCCTGAACCCTTCACCTTTTGAAGCTCCTCCAGTTGGCCTTGCGGTGTGCTGAACTCTATAACCTCGGCAGGTTCCTGAGGCCGCCAGCAGTCCTTGAGGACCTGTTCAGGGTTTAGGGTTTA